CCCAGGAAATGGAGGTATGCAAGAGGGGCTGGGATATAGCTCAGTGGCAGAGCACTTGCCTAGCAGGTGTCAAGCCCTGGGTTCTATCCCCAGCACTGCAAAAACAAAAGGAGGGAGCCCAGAGACAGGTTCAAGAGAACACAGGGAGATCCTCGGTCGAGCTGTCTGAGGGGGCTTTTGTACTCAAAGAGCTACCAACACCTGTGGAGTCGGCCCTCTCACCTTTGCTGCTGGATAGGCCAGGAGGGAGCCAACCTCCACCGCCTTATGGACTAGACTGAATCAGGCTTGTACGCACCTGTGGGGTCTGGGGGGCTTTCACCAGGGCGGCAGATGCCTGGAGGTGCCCTGCCCTGTGTGTACACAGTGAAATATACATGCAGTGCTACGATATGGCTCTTAGGGGATCACGGGGGTCAAGTGAGCCACATGGGGTTTGTGGTTAGAGGGGTGTCAACTGAATAGCAGTTGGTGGAGTGTGCAGCGGGCAGTCATATGCGCAGCGTAAGAGTTGTGGGGACCCTGGGGGGGATGAAGCTACAATAGGGGGCTGTGATTCCTCATCTGTATCCAGTTTCTGCTCAGGTCTGGGGTGGAGGGGGTGACAAGACTGGGTGGCAGACTATTTCCGGTCTGCATTTATGGGGATTCCTTCTGACATCAAAGTGGCCAATTGGGGACATAGATCTTCATGCCAAGCCCTGACTGGGGGAGTGGAGGGCTGAGGCTGGGGGAGAGGCAGCTCACCAGCTGGATCCAATTAGGATTCTTACCCAAAGCAAAACATGCAGACACACCCCAGTTCCTGCTGCCCAGCCTCCCTTCATAAGGAACGTGAGGCAGGCAGAGTAAAAGGTCAGAGGCCTGGGGCAGGCTAGTTCCTAGCAGCCACCCCTCCCTGCCCTGCTGACTGCCAGGAGCCAAGTTGCCAGATCAGCATCAGCAGTCCTGACCATCAGCTGACTGAGCCCTCCTCCTCTAGGGTCCCTTCCCACCCTTCCAGCTCAGAGAAGTACCCTCTTGTAGGAGGAGCAGAGCAGGAGGTTCTCCCAACAATATCCGTTCTCAGGGTCTGCTGCCCATTGGTGCCCCAATGTGCTCCTTCCCCAAATCTGCTCCATGTGATACACCCCAGCAATATGCAGGGGTAGGTGGTCCTGTTTTTCTCTTGGCATCCCAGCCAGGAGCCATTAGGAGGTGGAGGCATGCTGGGGGAACTGGTCCCCTCCTAGCTAAGGACAGAGGGTGTCATAAACTCTAAGAGTCCTCCCAGAATTCAGACAGCCCCCCTCACCCACGCAGCCAGCACGAAAAGGCTGGAAGTCCGGGCAGACTCCTTCTCTGAGTCCCTGACCTGGGGGACTTGGCCCTACGCTTTCCCAGGTACTTTCCAGCTACAAGTCCACGTGGGCAGGGACAAGTTTTCAAGACTTTTGCCTTTTCTGGATAGAGGTGGAGGAACTGCTCACAACTCTTCCCACTTGAGTTTGGGACAGGGACCCTGGGGGAGGGGCTTTGTGCCTTCGGTTAGGCTGGAATCACTCCCAGCTGGGGCCTCGCCTCCTCCCCGCCCCTCTCCTTCCCTGGGACCTACCTTCCCCGGCGAGCAGGTGGCAGGGCCTCAGGGCGCCTGGGTGGGTTGGAGCATCCCTGCCCAGCTCCTTCCTGGCGCGGCCGCGGCGGGCCCTTGGGGAGCGAGGGCAGGGAGAAGCGCGGGCCTTCACGGCCCTCGTGACCGGGTCAGGACGCCGGGCCAGGCTGGGCGCCCGAGAAGGAAGAAGGAGGCCGAGGGGGCGCGCAGGGAGGCAGGACCGTGCGAGTGGCGCGGCTGGGGAGTTCGGGGCTCGGATCTGCACCGGGGGCCGGCCGGGGTGGGGCGGAGCAGGGGGTCGGCTCCCCTCCCTCGCTCCAGCGGGGCGTGCGAGTGCCCTCCGTCGGGGCGCGCCGCGGGAATGCTGGCGGCCCTTGCAGAAGGGGCCGGGCCGGCAAGGAGGCGGCGCCGGGAGGGGCCACCAAGGGTCCCCGGGGAGCCCGCACGGTTTCCCAGCTGCCTCCCCTGGCCCCCACACCACGGGGCTGGCGTCGGGAAGGGGGCGGGCGGGCCAGCGAGGGCCACTCAGAGTTTCCAGCGACATTTCCAGGGTGTGGGAAGCGAGCTGCTGCGCGGCGGAGCCAGGACAGAGGGCAGGAGTGATTAGCGAGAACACGCTGAGTCCCAGGGACCGGGTGGAGCTTTCAGCTGATACGCCTCCACCGCCCGGGAGAGTAGGGAGACGGGCCCGCAAGGCTGACAGGCGGGGACCGAGATAAAGGCGCCCCACAGGCAGGGTGGCCCAGGAGCCAAGGCCCCGCCGCCTCTCCGGCTCTTGGGGAGGAGGTTTGTGCACGCATAAGCGCGCGCCCGGCGTGGGCAAAGAAAACTTGCACGCGTGCACTCGCAAATGTGCGGATGCTCACACGTGCAAACACTGGGAGGAAATCGGCTTCAGGCAACGGCCCAGGGCATGCCGCGCCCCCAAAGAGGATGAGGGTGGGGTCCCTTGGGCGGGGATGAGGTTAGGAGGGTCTTGATGTTCCCATACACCGTATTTGTTTTGATCTTCCTTCTTTCCGCTGTTCCCGCTATTCTGACATGAGTCCCCAGAGCCCCGCCTTGTTCACTCTGGCCCTGGCTTCTTCCCTCCTTCCCGCCACGCTTGTATGTGGGTACAGGGCCTGTTACAAAAACATGAGGGTGCTTCATGACTGTTTACTGACAGTAGAAGTAAAGTCTAGAGTGCATCTAGCCTTTGGCTAACCTCTGGGATCCCCAAATCTCAACCAATCAACCATCAAATAGCTACTGATCTACTTCAGATACTGTTGGGAGTGATCAATAATAATTAGGGAAATATGATAGTATCTATTGGATACCTACTGAGTATCTAATTAGCACCCAAGGCCACCATGCACTTCAGACGGTTTTTCAAGTACAGCATTCAGCCCAAAATTTGAAAGGGAATGGAGCAAAGAGGAAGCAATTTCAACCCCTACCTCCCTAACTGCTGTTAGCTCTCTTTTCCCAGTTGGGGTAAAGAGCTATACTGGCAGCATTGGAACAAGATAATATGGGGATGCTAAGGCTGAGGGGGAGGTCTACAAAGAGGCAGCCAGGGGCTTCCAGTGTCTGCCTGCTGCTGTGTGGTTACAGATCAGCAGCACTGGCAGAAAAGGGACCATCAGGCACAGGTCGCAGAAGCAGATCCTAGGCTTCCAAGAAAGATTTAAAAATGATTATGGGGCTCCAGGTCTGCCATTTGTGAGGTAATTTTACAGAGGCAACTATTGTATGAGCAGGGGCTGAGCAAGATAACCTTTGAGGTCCCTTTCAATAATATCTGCCTCTCCTGATGAGGATGGGGTGGGTAGCAGTGCCCTTAGAAGGTGGCTGCCCTAGGACACTCCTTGAAGGCAGGATACACACCCACCCCTTGGCACCAGCCTTTTTCCTCCCTCGGGGATAAATTACCCTTGTCTCGAGATTTCCCACCTGTCAGGGTCCTTGGGTATAAGAAGGGCCACATCACTTTCATTATCTTCCTTGTTCTCCAAACATGGCGAAGCTGAAGATCTTCCAATTCCAGGAATCCTGGCCATATCCCTCACCAGCAGCGAGCTTCTCTATTCTCTAGGGTTCTGACCTGGACTCCAAGATAAATATTTAATGTAGAGGGTGCTGCTGAGCCGCCAAAGGTCCCAACTTCCGGCTTCTCACAGAGGGAGGTGGCAGCCATGGGCAAGGAGCTGGGGACTGGCCACCGGGTCCATCTCTATGGGAATGGGGAGTTAGGTAAACAGCTTTGGAGGAGTACGGGGAAGGCTGCTAGAGACCTTTCCTCAGCTCTGCCTGTCTACTTAGGCCTGGGCCTGGCTGGCCTCAACACCTGACCCTGCAGTTTTGAACCCAAAACTGTTCCCTGGGGCTCAGCTGGCCCCACAGAAGACAGGATGGAGCAGAGCGTGGTGGTGCAAGCCTGTAATCCCAGCGACTTGGGAGACTGAAGCAGGAGGATCACAAGTTCAAAACCAACCTCAGCAATTTAGGGAGGCCCTGAGCAACTTAGCCAGACCCCCCCCCCCCAAAAAAAAAAAAAAAAAAAACAGCTGGGGATGTGGCTCAGTGCTTAAGTGCCCCTGGGTTCAATCCCTGGTACCAAAGTGGTGGTGGGGGGAGATGGAGATTGTTGGGACCACTGGGCAAGAAAAACAAAGGAAACTTGAACATTTCCTCCTTTTCTGCCCATATTTAGGGAAAATTCCTCTTTGAAAAGTAGATTAAGTAGGAAAGTAGCAAGGTTCTGAGATTCAGCCAAGTATCTCAGGTGTCGGATTTCCTACCTCCCACCCCTGACTTCAGTTCCTTGTGGCGGGCGGGTCTGCCTCTGTGGCTGGAACAGCTTCCGGGCCAGGCTGAGCTGGTGAAGGTGTCCCAGATAACAGGCCCTGATCAGTCCCAGGGCAGATTCCTTTCATCTCCTAGGCACGGCCCCTGCTCATTTTCTTGTCTGAGGGGGACCGCCCTCCCCGTGAGCCTGCCACTTACCAACTCTGCTGCTGCCTTTGGTCAGGGGCTGCCTCAGCCTCCTCAGCCACCTGAGCCCTAGTAAACATAGTCACAGTTATATAACTGCTCTGTTTTCTCAGATATCTGATTCCAGTCACCAGGATCTCCACCTGTGCCCAAGGCCACCAACTTTTAAAAATTCTTTTTCCTCTCGGTACTGGAGAATGATCCCAGGGCCTCAAACATGCCAGGCAAGCAGTCTAACACTGAGCTACATACCCAGTCCTTTTTATTTTATTTTGAGCAGGATCTTGCTAGTTGCCCAGGCTAGCCTCAAACTTGCAATCCTTTAATCTCAGCCTTCGTCAGACTCGCTGGGATCACAAGCATGTGCCACAGAACCCTGGCAGTCAACTTTTGTTTTGCCTGTATTCCCCCACAGCACTCTTGTCCTCGACCCCAATTTCAGGGCATGATGAGCCAAGCATTGCCAATATCCTCATGTGGAGGGAGATGGGGGGATAAAAAGCAATTCATTCTGAAAAGCAACTTCTGTCACCAACAGGAAGTGTAAGTGGTTTCCTCTTACAGGGAAGACCAGGTGAGTAGGGTACAGAGAACTGGGATTCTCTTCCTAAGTAGGGAAAGGGAAAATAGAGATCACCGAAGACAGACACACAGACACTCCATGTCTTTCTCTAGTGCTGGGAACTTGCCATTAGTTGCACTTAGATCTCTCCTGCACTGGGCCCCAATCCCCTCACATTAAATAAAGGAAGAGCATCTGCTGTCCCTTTTATTCTCCTGCCCAGGGATGACTCTGGTACAGTCTTCAAGTAGGCTCTGAGCCCTTTTTTCTTGCGCTCTCACAAGAGTATTTTCCTGCAGACCAGAAGGGCTTAGTAAAGAAGTTCAGCAGTTAGGACTTCTCTAAAGGGGTGACCATGGTGACACAACAGTGAGGAAGAGAAACCAAGTCACCTTGGACATATCAGGGCAGCTCTGGACTCTGTTTCATCCCCTGGGCCCCATACTTTCTCCTGGGCCCTTTGCTGATTCCAGCTCCTGCAGTGCTGGCCAAGTTCTACCAATGGCCCTTGTCCATGCCAATCACTCACAGGAACAGGGTGGAGTAAGGGAGAAAAGTGAAAGTGACCCACTTTGAGGCTTCAAAGGCCCTCCTGTGCTAACAATGGCATGACCTGGCCCATCTGGAATCCAAGTTTTTTTGGGTCTAGTCACTGTGAAGTGACTGTGAGTGAAAAAGCACCCACCAGTACTGGCCAAGCAGAGTCATTTTGGGGCCATGGAACCCCACAGAAGTACAGAATGAGCTTCCCATAGCACACCTGTGATGTAACATGAATCTATCTAGGGACCTCGGTCAGTCACATCCAAATTCCTAAGGCTGTGACAGAACTTAGCCTTTCATCCTGTTTATCTGGCCTGTCCCCAAAGGAAACCTTGACAGTGACATCATGTGACTTCTTTCTCCCTTTTCATGGACAAGCAAATAAGCACAATGTGCAGATGGGGTGTCTTTGAGAAGAACTAAGCTGGAGGAACCTCTTTTAGTTCCAAAAAAGGATGAAGAGCAAGTGGCTTCAGCTCTTTAGAAAGTCAGCTTTATAAGAGAAGGACAAATAAGCAGTGACCTCAGAGGGGAAACTATGCCAAGTCAAGTTGGCCACAGAGAAGGGCACAGAACCAAGAGCTGGAGAATGAGGTCTGCCTGAGCCTTTTTCCCACTCGGGTAAACTGAGACGGGGAGGATGATAAGGCTGACTGGCCAGGGGACACCATGAGGTAGTGCTCCGGCCTCCAGACAAAGGACAACCTTGTCTTCCCGCCTCTTTGAATTCTGTAATGAATTTTCTCCTGCATCAACATTAAAAGGCGACTTAATTTGCCATTAAATTGTCAACCCACTGTATCAACATTAAATAGATTTTCTTCCTAAGACCTGAAAGTTGTGATTTAAAAAACAACCAACGCCAAAACAAAAAACTGTGCATTATTAGAGCAGTGGGGACTCCATCTAGATTTAGTGCAAGGTCCACATAAATTTGCATTGCAGCCCTTCATTCCAGGATCTTAAAAAGCTCCCTACAACCCTGCAAATCAGGGCAAATATCAACTCATCTTCCTGAGGCTTTAGCTAAGGAACAGGATGCTGCTAATTCAGGATACCACTAGGATAACAGAACCCACCACACATACTTAGCCTTTGTGCCATTAGATATCTGGGAACGTTTTCTGGCCTGTAAACTGCACCATGACCTTATTGTGGCTATATTTAACTTCACGATTGCTGTTTGGGTTTGTCAGGCCTGGATTTAGCCTTTCCACCCCAACTGCCGGGATCTGTAGAGTTCCCTCTCCAGGCCCTGGTGCTTCCCATCACCAGTCCTTGTGAATCCACAGCACCTCAAGACATTTCTACTTTTCAGAGAAATTGAAAGGCTGTTCTTGCACTTCCTGTTCTTGGTAGTCCAGCTCAACTCCTCTCTGGCTTTGACTTCTTCCAAGTTGGAATTCATCCACATCTATTGTTAGGATCACATGCAGGGTTATTAAATTACTATAATAAAAGCCTATTTTTATCTTTTGTAAAGACTCGAGATTCCTGGGATGTCTTTCTTCCTTTTCTTCAAGTAGTAGCCTCTGTTGGAGAAGCCACAGGAGGAGAGGGTATGGGATTGAGCAGGACTTAGTGGTAGGCAAAAGGCCAGGAGGCAGCTAGGAGCAAGGGAGTGGATTTCGAGTGGGAAAAACACAAAAATACAAAAGTACTTTAAAACAAGAGGGGTGAAGGAGAGAGATCCTCTATTGCTATGGGGAACTCCCTTGGGAGCGGAATTCCTTGGCATTTTCCAGAGACTAAGCCAGATATCACAAGCCAGGCTTTCCCTTGCTCCTGGAATTATTAAATGAGTAAGAGCCAAATATCAACACCTCCACCAGGAAATAAAGACACAGGGAGCCAATAAATTATCACTCAATTATAAGGAAGTTTCCTTCTTTTTTTTTAATCTTAAAGACAACTTCCAATTTACATTAAGAAAGGTCTAACAAAGTAATTTCTTGTTTACAAAAAAGACTTATTAACTGACTCCTGCCAACCTAACATTTCTGCCATTTTCTTTAACGTAACTGAAAGCAAGAAAAAGCAGGTCATCTCTAAGTGCTAGCAAATATGCCATCATTCAGAAGAACCTTAAAAATTACACCAGCAGCCAGCCTCAAACATCTGACCACTTCCCCACCCAGGAAGCAAAACCAGGGAACTTCTTAGCAAAAGTTGGCCGACTTTTCTATTAGGAAACACAGCCACTGGGTACAATGCACAGAGAAGGGGAAATACTGTATCCATCATAGCCTCTTCAAAAGATTCTGTGACAGAAAAAGCATGGCTTTATTGCCCCAAATCAAAAATCTATGGCTGCCTTGTTACATGTGCTTTGTTTTAACATGCAAAAAAGGGTGCTCGGTGGGCGATGTGACAAGGGTATGAAGGGAACCTGGTCCAGAACTTACAGGCAGGCAGTGTGCACAGCCTTACTTCAGAGCAGCGCGGGGAAATGCGCTGAGTCCTGCTCTCACTTCTTGATCTGAAGCCACCTTGACTTGTCATGAGGGCACTGAGGAGAAGCTGCATAACCTGTCTCAGACAAAGGTGTTATTTGGCAAGTCTTGCCACGGTTGCCAGGGCGTGAGGCCAAGGCCTCCCAAGAGGGAGTATATGCTCAGGATCATCTTCATCTTTGTGACTGCATAGATGAAGGCAGCTAACATGACCCCATTCACTTTGGCTGGATAGAGGCAGAGCAGGTCCCCAGTCCCAGCGTAACACAGGCTCTCCCTCACACAGTCAATGGCACAAAGCTCTAATATGGTTCTCTGCTGGCACCCCAGATACTAAGAGTAACAACCCTGTCCTTTGGCTACACAACTTTCTCCACTATACATATCTCCTTTTTTTTTTTTTGTGGGGAGGGGGTACCAGAGATTTAACTCAGAGGCACTTGACCACTAAGCCACATCCCCAGCCCTATTTTGTATTTTTATTTAGAGACAGAGCCTCACTGACTTGCTTAGTGCCTCACTTTTGCTGAGGCTGGCTTTGAAC